GGGGGTAATAATACCGCGGTCTATATTCATGTGGCCCATACCCGGGAGTAATAATACCGTGGTGTATCTCCACGTGGCCCTCACCCGGGGGTGATAATACCGTGGTCTATGTTCATGTGGCCCTTGCCCGGGGGTAAGAATATCGTGGCCTATGTTCACGTGGCCTTTGCCTAAGGGTAACAGTACCATGGCCAGATGCGTATGAGATATCGAGTTATATGAACCTAATTTGAAGAACTGGTATATGAACCCGTGGTTCCACATGATTACTAAGTTTAGCGAACATAACCGCTATATCACTTGATTTTACTGTTCAAATGGATATTATTTTTAACCTTTTTTTTTTACACATTGTTATTCACTGGGCTTTGGCTCACAATTTATGTCTGTCATGTAGGTGATCTAGCTCAAGAGAGAAGTTAAGGGCGTCAACCTACTTTCTAGTTTATCAAGTCAACCGTAGTGCCTCCCTCCAGGGTTTCTTTTGGGTCTAACTCTAAGGCTTTTGGGTGAATATGAATTTACCCTTTTGTAAAGTGATCAACTGACTTATAGCAAAGTGTTTTTGGTTTTATGCTTGTTTGGGTAATGTGATTGCTTTTGGTACATGTATATGATGTGATAAGGTATGTAATGATTGTATAGTGATGTATATAAGGTGTGTTTATTCATTTTAGTTCACAACTCATTGGACGATGGTTTGTGATTTTATTGGCTTCCGCGAGCCCTTTACTATTTATTAAATTATTCAATAGGCCTTTGGTAATTGCGGATTACTGGCCGGTTACGTCTCTAATCCCGTGGGGCAAGGGTTGGGTAATGACAGAGTGGTATCAGAGCACAAGTTTTGCCACACACGCGCCCAAATGAGTTATAGGATGTCCTAGAGAAGAAATTAGGACATTATATTGCATGTGTGAGTGTGTGTGGAGTTTATCTATGTAAACATGATATGAATGTGACAACTGCCTTGCCTATGTTTATTATTTCCTGTTTTTATATAGCCAAATGGATGCAAGAAATATAGATGATTCAGAGTCATCAGGTGCCAGAATAGACAGATTGGAAAGAATGGTAGAAATGTTGACTGAATCTTTGAGGCAAAGAGAGCAAGTCCCGCATCCTCCTCCACTTCCGGTGCAACCTGAATCGATCAACAGTGATGATATCATAGCCCTAACACAGAAGTTTAATAAATTGAAGCCGCCAACTTTCCAAGGGGGTCTTGGTCCACTAAAAGTTGAGGCTTGGATCTTGGAAATAGAAAAGTTGTTTGAGGTTTTTCCTTGTTCAAAGGTACAAAAAGTTTTGTTGGCTACTTTTACCAAGAGAAAGCAAGACATTGGTGGATGCTAGTCCGAGAGGGCAACAACACTATGACATGGGCTCAATTTACGGAAGTGTTTTATGAAAAGTATTTCCCTCAATGTGTCTGTGACCAGAAAGTATCAGAGTTTGAGCAGTTGAAGTAGGGTACTATGTCTGTGGCAGAATACGAGGCTAAATTCACGGAGCTAGCTCGGTATACACCACATATGGTGGACACGAATTATAAAAAGGCTCGTAAGTTTGAAGGCGGACTTGATGTGGAAGTGCTGGATAGGGTGAATGTTCTTCACCTAACCAAGTATATAGATATTCTTAATCACGCTCTCATGGCTGAAACCAATATTGCAGCACTTAAGCAAGCTAAGGCACTGGTGACTGAATGGAAGGGAAAAAGACAAGGGTTCAATTTTAAGAGGAGCCGGGCTAATTTTCAGAATAAGAAGCAGCATACAGGGTCAACAACGAGTTCTAATCAATGAAATGATTTGATATCACCATGTCCTGAATGTGGAAAAAGGCACAAGGGGGTGTGTTATAAACTTTCTGGGGCTTGTTTCCGGTGTAGCAAAACGGGCCACATGGTTAAAGATTGTTCCCTTTTATCCCAAGGCACAAATAGACCATTGGCCAGCCCGACAACATTCGTCTCTACACCAAGATCAAGTTCTAAAGTTGCAACGGGAAAGGAAACATTGAGGCAAGGTCGAATTTTTGCTCTTGTGCTAGGAGATGTCCATAACACAGAGACAGTAGTGTCAGGTATACTCCCTGTCTATACCCAGAATGCGTATGTTTTGATTGACTCAGGGTCTACGCATTCTTTTGTTTCATCTGCTTTTTCTCGCAAATTAGCTAAATCTTCTTTGCTAGCTATATCATCTCCAATTGGAGGGTCTATGATGTGTGCCTATAAATATCCTGCATGTGCCATTTTTGTTGGGGATATGCATTTATATGTTGATTTGTTGCCCCTGAATATTGATCATTTCGATATAATTTTGGGGATGGATTGGTTATCGAAATATCATGCGACGATTGACTGTGTAACTAAGTAAGTGATTTTTCGCCCCTTGATTTGCCGAATTTACTTTTAATGGTGTTTGTGTTGTGCCTCCCCCATATTTGATTTCATCTATGCAAGCGTGCAAACTAATGAGAAAATGCTGCAGAGGATATTTGTGTTATGTATTGCAAACACCTATTATTGAGAAACAGAAGGCAGACAATATTCCTATAGTCCGAGATTTCCTAGATGTATTTCCCGATGATTTTCTAAGGGATTTGATTGATAGAGAAATAGAGTTCACTATTGAGATAGTACCAAGTACACAGTCGGTTTCCAAGACTCTGTACCAAATGTTGACCACTGAATTGAAGGAGTTAAAAATTCAATTGCAAGAGTTGCCGAATAAGAAATTTATCAGGCCTAGTACCTTACCATGGAGTGCTCCGGTCTTATTTGTGAAAAAGAAGGATGGTTCATTGAGACTCTACATTGACTACCGTGAATTAAACAAAATGACTGTGAAGAATAAATATCCGTTGCCCCGCATTAACGATTTATTTGACCAATTACAAGGGGCGCAAGTCTTCTCCAAAATTGATCTTAGATCCAGATATCACCAATTGAAAGTTAAGGCAGAAGATGTAGAAAAGATTGCTTTCCGAACAAGGTATGATCACTATGAATTTCTTGTTATGCCCTTTGGAGTAACTAATGTGCCTGTTGCATTTATGGATCTAATGAATAGAGTCTTCAAGCTGTTTCTAGATGAGTTTGTTATTGTTTTTATCGACGACATTTTGATTTATTCCAAAAGTCAAGAGGAACATGAACGTCACTTAAAACTTGTTTTGTAAACCTTAAGGGAGAAGAAATTGTACGCTAAACTGTTTAGGTGTGAGTTCTAGCTCGATAATGTAACATTTTTGGGCATGTAATCACTAAAGAGGGCATTTCAGTTGATCCGCAAAAGATAAAAGCAGTTGTTAATTGGCCTCAACTGACCAATATTGCCGAAGTTTGAAGTTTCTTGGGTTTGGATGGATATTATCGCAGATTTGTAAAGGATTTCTCCAAAATTGCCTTACCGCTTACTCAGTTGACACAGAAGGGGGTACCATTTGATTGGACTAATCAGAGGGAATCAGTTTTTCAAGAATTAAAGACTCGACTTGTGACTACCCCAATTCTCACATTACCCTCAGGTACGGATGGTTTTACTATTTTCAGTGATGCCTTGTATAAAGGTTTAGGGTGTGTGTTAATGCAGAATGGAAAGGTAATTGCCTACGCTTCCTACCAATTGAGGGCACATGAAAAGAATTACCTGACGCATGATTTGGAGCTTGCCGTGGTGTGGTTTTTGCACTAAAGATTTGGTGCCACTACTTATATGAAGCAACATGTAAAGTTTATACGGACCATAAAAGTCTGAAGTACTTTTTCACCCAAAAAGAGTTGAACATGAGACAACGGCGATGACTCGAATTAATTAAGGACTATGATTTACAAATCTTGTACCATTCGGGGAAAGCAAACACTGTCACCGATGCCCTCAGCCAAAAATCAATTAGGAACTTGACTTGTTTACTTACCGAACAAAAAGAATTGCTTAAAAAGTTAGAAAGACTAGAAGTAGAAATTGTTTTACGAGAACAAGACGGGATCTTAGCTACTATTATTGTGCAACTGGTACTCATTGAGGAGATTAAGGAGAGACAGCAACAAGATGGATTTTTAAAGAAAGTGATTGAGGAAAGAGAAGCTAAACTAAGATCGAGTTTCACTTTTGAAAATGGGGTATTGAAATTTCAAGGGAGGTTATGTGTGCCCAATGATGTTGACTTGAAGAGACGAATTATGCAAGAAGCCCACAGTTCAAAATTGTCCATTCATCCGGGGAATACGAAAATGTATCGAGACTGGAAGCTCAATTTTTGGTGGCCGGGAATAAAGAAAGACATTGCCAAATTTGTGTCTAAGTGTTTACAATGTCAACAAGTCAAAGCCGAGCATCAACGACTCGCGGGGCTGCTCCAACCACTTTTCAATACCGGAGTAGAAATGAGAGCACATTACCATGGACTTTATTGTTGGACTACCTCGCTCCATTAGAGGTATGGACTCAATTTGGGTTATTGTGGACCATTTAACTAAATCTGCTCATTTTTTACCTGTAAAGACATAATGTGGATGAGTTGGCTACAATTTATATCAATGAAATTGTGAGATTGCACAGAGTTTCTATGTCCATTGTTTCTAATAGAGATCCAAAGTTTACCTTGAGATTTTGGCAAAGCTTACAAAAGGCATTAGGGACGGAGTTGCGACTGAGTAGCGCATATCATCCACAAACCGATGGGCAATCTAAAAGGACAATACAAACGTTGAAAGATATGTTATGTATATGTGTGATAGACTTCCAAGGGAATTGGAAAACTTATTTGCCCCTAGCCGAATTTGCTTACAATAATAGTTTTCATTCAAGCATTGGCATGGCACCTTACGAGACTTTATATGGCAGAAAATGTCAGTTACCGATTTGCTGGGCTGAAGTTGGAGATAGACCTTTGTTGGGGCCTGAAATTGCGCAAGAAACAACGGAAAAAGTGAAGTTGATTCATTAGCGGTTAAAGACAGCTCAAAGTCGGCAGAAAACTACGCGGATATGCGTAGACGAGATAGGGAATACGAAGTGGGCGATCATGTTTTCATAAAAGTGACATCGATGAAAGGGCAAACTTATTTTGGAGCTAAGGGCAAGTTAGCACCCCGGTACATTGGGCCTTTTGAAATCATTGAGAAGATTAACCCGGTAGCGTATCAAGTGGCACTTCCCCCAAGTATGGAGCACATGCATAATGTATTTCACGTGTTCATGTTATGGGATTATCTTCAAGATCCTTTTCATGTGATTGAGTTGACTCACGTCCTTTTGACTGATGATTATACATATAAAGAGCGGCCCATTCAAATTGTTAACTGCCGGATTAAGAAGTTGAGAAACAAGGAAATACCCTTGGTGAAAGTGGATTGGCAAAATCACGGTGGCACATATGCAACTTGGGAAAGAGAAGACGACATGAAGCAGAGATACTAGGATTTTTTTCCCTTAGAACCTACATTTTTCACGGAAGAATGTATTTACGTTGGGAGGACCAAACATCTTAAAGGAGGGAGAATGTAACAGTCACTCCCTTAATTAATGGTTAAATTACGTAATTTACCTTGCTTATGGGTTTATTATGCGTAATTGTATGTCATGTATTATATGTACCATTTGTTATTTGTGCTATGTGTTCATGGTAGTAAATTAGTGGGAAAGATAGATGGAAATGGGTAATAAACCTGTCTGAATCAGTGAACCATAAAATTAAAATTAAATAATTGAAATAGGCAATTAGAGCCTAATTCGCAGTAGTACGTTTTAATTTAGTATTAATTAAGAGATTTATGATGAGAATTGAATTATTAACTTAGACTTGGGAAGAGAATTAGGGAAATCCAAACAAGACTTAACTCAAGTCAACAAAAGAGGTAAATAAGGAAAGATGGTGGTTGGTGTAGAGACAACTTGAGAGAGAGCCTTAGCAGTACAAGGAAGATAGAGGAAGAAGAGGAGTAGAAGAGCTTAATCCAAAGCTTTACTAATTCATCCATCTAAGGTAAGAAACTTTCCTCTAATTTCAAGAATTGAAGTTGTTTCCCCATGGAATCATAGAAATTTAGATGAATTGAGAAGTTGGGTAATGTAAAGTGATGATAGGAACCCCAAAGTGAAGAGTAAACTCTTATCCTTGTAATACATGGCATCATCACTTGCATCTTGCATGAAATTTGGGATTTGAAGAGTAAATTGCAAGAGTTTTCACTTTGACACTCAAGTTTGCATACATTGAGAATTGTATACATCTAAGGTTCATCATTTTGTGGTCTTCTTTGAGGCTTGAGCCTTGCTTACTTATTTGAAGTTAGAAGTAATTAATTCCTCTGATTTTGAAGTGTTTTTTAGCCTCTTTTTGTGTAAATGAGATTGGGTTTTGAAATGGGGAAAAACTCCATATTCAGCAGAAATTCGAATTGATTTTTCACCCAGACCGCTCGAGCAACCAAGCTTAGTTTGGCCAAATTTGCACACTGAAGTTCGCTGGCACGTGTGGCCTAGGCCACCACACGTGCGGCTAGACCACCGTACGTGCAGCTGGGGCCACCGCACGTACGGCCAACAGGGCCAGCCTAGATTGATTTTTCTTCTGATTTCTCTGACTTCCGGGCTTCCAATTGCACGGTTTTCAACTGTTTTTCATGTGCATGTGCATGGGATGAATTTAAAACTAAATGAAAGAATAAAAAAGGTCGAGTTAAATGATTAGTAGCAAGTAAGTAATGGAGAAGTTAGTGACTAATTGAATATTGAACCATTATGCTTTCATATGCCTGCGTAGGTCAGATGCTGTATCCTAGTCAAGTGCTATACGGGACTAACGGTGAGTGACAATGTAGTAAAACTATGCTTGAAATATAATTCTTTTAGATTGTTATTGATATTGTTAAAGTCTGTTCTATAGTGATATGTTTTTTGAATACGTGAACCCACTCCATATAATATGCTCACGTGGCCCATACCCGGGGGTAATAATACCGCGGTCTATATTCATGTGGCCCGTACCCGGGAGTAATAATACTGTGGTGTATCTCTATGTGGCCCTCACCCGGGGGTGATAATACCGTGGTCCATGTTCATATGGCCCTTGCCCGGAGGTAAGAATATTGTGGCCTATGTTCACGTGGCCTTCGCCTGGGGGTAACAGTACCATGGCCAAATGGGTATAAGATATTAAGTTATATGAACCTGATTTGAAGAACTAATATATGAACTCGTGGTTCCACATGATTGTTAAGTTTAACGAACATGTTACCGCTATATGACTTGATTTTACTGTTCAAATGGATATTATTTTTAACCTTTTTTTTACACATTGTTATTCACTGGGTTTTAGCTCACAGTTTATGTCTGTCATGTAGGTGATCCAGCTCAAGAGAGAAGTTAAGGGCGTCAACCTACTTTCTAGCTTATCAAGTCAATTGTGGTGCCTCCCTCCGATGTTTCTTTTGGATCTAACTCTAAGGCTTTTGGGTGAATATGAATTCCCTTTTGTAAAGTGATCAAGTGACTTATAACAAAGCGTTTTTGGTTTTATGCTTGTTTGGGTAATGTGATTGCTTTTGGTACATGCATATGATGTGATAAGGTATGGGATGATTGTACAGTGATGTATATAAGGTGTGTTTATTCATTTTAGTTCACAGCTCATTGGACTATGGTTTGTGATTCTATTGGCTTCCACCAGCCCCTTACTATTTATTATTTATTCAGCAGGCATTTAGTAATTGCAGATTACTGGCTGGTTACGTCTCTAATCTCGTGAGGCGAGGGTTGGGTCGTGACACCACTGATATGTAAATTCTCCTTTGTTTGTTGATCCAATACCAATACCCTCAATGAGTTAGAAGAGTGTAGGAATAAACTAAACTCTTACATTAGAAAAAAATACACAGATACTCTCCAGGTTTTGCTTTAAAGTTAATGATTTTGAAACTATTTTAATTTGTTGGGGTTTGATGGGTTTTGATTTTTGAAATTTGAAATGGATTTGATGGGTTTTATTCGCAGAAATCTGTAGAAATTCAAAGTCGTTTCACTTGAGACATCACCCCCGGGAACAAGTTTTCCGGCTTCGGCGCTTTCCGGCACATCCCCGTGAGTTTACTCTCTCTATCTCTCCTAGAAATGTTTATAGATATATGAATATATAAACATGTGAATTTGTGAGCAGAAATGGTATGCTCTCTCTTATTTTGCTTTCTATGGATATCTATGAAAAGCCATGAAATTATTGTTGTATTTTTGTTATCAAAATCAGACCAAATTGAACAAAAGATTCTGCCATGAATACTTAAACTTCCATCAGATTTTAGATTTTAGATTTTTCAAACTTTCCATTGCTTTTTCAATGTGTTGGGTTAGTTTTAGATTTTTTTTATCAGTTTAAATATTTGAACTTTCATCAGATTTTTAAACTTTCATCCCATAAACAAAAAATTTGAATACATTCCTCTATAATATACATTCCTTTATATTTTAATCTCATAATTAATTGTACCGTGCCTTCAGGCACGGGCATACGCTAGTATATATATATAGGTCTTGGCTTAGGCTATTGTTTGAGATTATTTTATTTTTTTAATGTTTGAGGCTATTTTAGTCCCAAATCTGGGTTTCCAAACAAGGCCAATGTAAAATATTACATAAATACTTTAATAAAAAAATATTATTTTTTGCAAATTAATATGGTATGTATTAATAATGTTTTTTTAATATTAAACAAAATTCAATTTACAAACATCAAATGTATTATATTGATTTAAAAATTTTATTTGTTTGTATAATTTAGGAAAAATTACTCATAAATCTCATTTGAGAAATTGTTGATCCATTTAGTCCTAAGTGTTTTTTTATAAATCAATTAATCCTTTTTGTTTTGAAAATTTATATTTATTTGATTTTGCGTCATTTGAGTTTAAGTATATACTTTTTTGTAATTCATTTTTCTAATTTTCTAACTCATTTTTGAGATGGAAACGGAAATGTGAGGAATGGAAAATTCTTTTTGGGGGAATTGGTAGCTAAAATGTTGGTTGTCAAGTATGGAAATCTAAATTTCTGTTAGTGTGGTTTTCTGGTGTTACATTGGAATGTTATATTACTGTGTTACATTTGAAAAAAAATACACTAAGGAGTTTTTGTGTGTTATTGTAAGGTCCTGGTGCCCCACATCAGGAATGGAGGGAGAGTTCCTGGACTATGAAAGTAAAAACTTAGACCCTTATATGGCATCGAGGCCTTTTCCTCGGTGGTGAAATCCCTAACAGAACTCCCTAGTTAAGCGTGCTTAGGCTGAAGTAGTTTTGGGATGGGTGACTCACTGGGAAGAACAAATCTGTGCGGGCGTGGCTCAAAGCAGACAATATTGATGACATATAAAGGGTTGGGGCGTTACAAATGGTATCAGAGCAGACTCTGCAGAGTACAAAGTGTGGGTCCCTGGTGTCTCTCGATGCATGTGGACAGGGTTTGTAAGCTGGCAGGCTACTGCACAGAGACGTACAGCCTTAGGCGGAGTAGATTGTAAGGTCCCAGTGTGCAACAACCTAGACTTTTAATTATTCTATAAAATTTATACTAATATTATTTAATCACAGTTAGAAAAATATATGATTTATTTTGTATTATTATGTGTAATTTTGTAAAATAATATAATTAGTAAAAAAAATTTAAGGGTCAAAGTATAAATAAATAAATAATAATATTAGTAATAATGATAATAATAGGTGTGGTAGTAAAATAAATAATTAATTATCTATTAATATATGATAAAGTGTATTTAATTAAAAATTAATTTATTTTTATAATTATATTAAAAAAATAAACTAAAATATAATTATCTTAAATATTTATAAAAAGATAAATATGAATCTATATATGTTAATGGCCAAATCCGGAGAGATGGATACGCGGGCCACGTGTTGGCTGGATGACGCATTCACCTGTTTATAAATAGAGAGTGGTGCTCTGAGGAAAGGAAAAGAAAGAAGAAAGAAAGAGAGAAATGAAGGAGAAAGGAAACAGAGAAAGAAGGAAAAAATGATGGAAGTTAAAAAGTCTTTAGTAATAGAGAGAAAGAGTCAGATATTAAAGTTAAGGTGAATTATATTATATTTTGAGTCATTATAAAGTATCTTATGTATATTTTAATTTATCATAATTTATTTTATACAAGTTATGTTTTATAAACTATTATAAATTATTATAAGTTATATTAATATTTCAATTTTGTGGATTATTTTCTGAACTCTATTTATTAAAATGAAACCTATGGATATGTTTGTTTATATTTTAAAGAATATTTGACTATAACCTTATAAACAATTATGTTTTGTAAGTACCACCACGGGAGTCCCACGCTTTGGGAGACCTAAATAACCATTGGCCCTCTGATCAGTCACTTTGTGACCCTTTGTCTGTCATGGATCCATTGACCCTCTGAATTTCTGGTGTGGAGAAAAATGTTGTACGGAACTAAGTATTACACTATGGTAGAAGCCACCTCTAGAGTTCGTACGAGCCATCTCTTGAGTCCATACATCTGTTCTGTTCTGTAACATGGTTATGACTTTTGGTGTGGAGCAAAGTGTTGTACGGAACTAAGTGCTACAGTATGGTGGGAGCCACCTCTAAAGTTCGTATGAGCCACCTCTCGAGTCCATACATCTGTTCTGCTCCATTTTGTACCGTGGTTATGCTTATTTTGTTTATATGATATCTGTATTATATGTCAAATGATCTCTGTATTATATACTCTGTATTTTAATATCAAGCTCTGTTTAACCAATAATTATCCATGGTGAATGTTATGCCATTATACTCTTAGTATAATATTTCTCACTCTACCATGTGCTTATAGTTGTTTACCAATTTTTCAGGAAACAATGCAATTCAGAAATAGCTTTTGGGAAGTCATGTTGCGGAATAGACACACACAACACTTTTATGATATTTTTCATATGTAAATATCGGCTTTTTTGGTCAATACATTTTATAATAAAAATAGAAGTTCCGATAATTATTTTGGTACCCTCACTTAAATATTACTTCCGCTCGCGTTTATTGATTTGTTTAAAAATTGGCCGGAGGTAACCTCAGTTACTGGCCGTCGCGATGCTTAACCTTTAGGTACGGGGAGCGGGTCGTGACACAGTGTCCTACATCGGGATTCGATGGAGAGTTCCTAAGCTATAAAAGTAAAAACCTAGACTCTTATATAGCATCGAGGCCTTTTTCCTAGTAGTGAAATCCCTAGCAGAACTCCCCAGTTAAGCATGCTTAGGCTGGAGTAGTTCTGGGATGAGTGACCCACTGGAAAAAACAAATCTGTGCTGGCATGGCCCAAAGCGAACAATATCAATGACATATGAAGGGTTAGGGGGTTACAGTTATATTGATTAGAGCGTTACATTTTGAAAAAATACACTAAGAAATTTTTTTAAAATATTACGTTATTATGTTTAGAAAAAGTATACTAGGGAGTTTCTTAGTGTATTACAGTGGAGTGTTATGTTTGAAAAAAAGTACACTAAGAAATTTTTTAATGTTACATTGATTGGAGTGTTACGTTTGGAAAAAGTACACTAACAAGTTTTTATAAATTGTTACGTTGTTACGTTTAAGAAAATACATTAATTTTTTTTAGTGTGTTATATTAGAGTATTAAGTTTTCGGAGTATTATATCCGAAAAAAGTATACTAACAATTATTTCTCAACACATAACATAAGGGCATTTATACTTAACCTTTTATGTAATTCACATTGGAATAGGACATTTAAGTCTATAAAAAAAAAAGAAAAAAAAAATCAAATAATTTATAAAATCACTATTTAAATTTATTGATACGTCACCGTCATTTTTTTTAAGGGGAGTTACAAGCTGGTCCTATGGACCGATCTTATTACCCAGCAGGTCCTATCCAAAAAAATCAAACAGTGTTTTTCATTTTTACCCCTAGACCCAACACTGCAAATTTATCACTGGTTTAAATAAATTTATCACTTGCTTAAACAAATTTATCACTAGTTTAAACAAATTTATCACTGATTTAAATATATTTATTACATTTTTCATTAATACGCATATGGATCATTTTTCTTTACCATAGACATATGAGAAAGAGAGAGCAGATTGAATAATTCTCAACAATACTATACAAATTACAACCTTAAATAATCCATACTGGACATCGAAAGCCGCCTGAGTAATGTTATCCATGAAATCTTTGAAAATCCCACCACCATCAATACCAGCCTCTGCCACTCCAAATCCATTCACAAATGTGATGCGAATCTGGGAACATTTATCAGAAAATGACATATATTGATATAGAGAAAACAAACTTTCAATCTTTTCTCTCTCTCTTCAATCTCATATCTAAATTGCCTTTGTTGCCGCCGTCCGTTGTCCTCCGCCACTTCAACATCCACGTCTCGCAATCTCTACGTGGACAATCTCACCATCCATGCGTAGCTCGGCTGAGCACAACCAAAAACTCGCCGGAAATCATCCATGTGTAGCTCAACGGTGGTGGAGTACGTCGGTTGTAGATCTAGACTTCATAGTGAACATTCTCCTTGAATGCAGCGGCGATGGTGGCGGATCTTCTTCTTCGATCAGACCATCCATGGTGTCGCCGAGAGAGATGTGCAGAGAGAGCTTTTTTTTTTTTTTTTTCATCTCCAAATCTGAGTATAAAAACATGAGGGCAAAAATGCAATAAATAAAAATGTTCAAGACTTATAGATAAAAAAGTCTCTATTAAGAACCTATTGAATAATAACCCTTGAAAAGAGGACTGGCCCGTAAAAATCTTTTTTTTATTCGTAGTTATGATTTGAGTATGTTGAGTCTCATCAACTTCATAACGACCAAATCAACTAAAAAAAGGGTGAACTATTATCTTAAATACAATTTTTATAATCAGACTAAATAACTAATGAAAATAGCCAAATTTTCAAACGAGTCTAGAGCATCTCCAAGGGGATAGTTAAACATGGCTTGTTAGGTATTTTAGCTAATGTAAGTCTAATTTTGAGCTCCAATGGACTAGTTATTGGGCTAGCTATTTTACCATCCTATTTTTTTGATGGCTACAATTGAAGAGCCCCAGAGGCTCCCCAAATAATTATGTATGTATATATTTTAGATTTTTATATATTTATGTCTTGGATTTGGGATTTTATATATTTTATATATATGTGTGTGTGTGTGTGTGTATGTAGCAATTTTATATGTTCTTTCAATTTTGTTTGACAGAATAACTTATTTTGTATTTTTTTTTCTCCTCATTCTACAGGTTTTGTATGTTTGTATGAGCAAATTTATTATTATTGTAAATTTATATTAGTAAAATGTCAACCATTAGTATTTTTTTATTTTAAAAATTAATTAAATTAGTTTAAATGATTAGCTAAAATAAAGAGCGTGGTTAGAGAACACAATAATTAAAGTAATTAGGTATAATAAATGATGTACTTTTTTTATACTTTAACTAATAAAAAATAGAGAGTGTGATTGGAATTGTTCTTAGTCTTTCGCATAATAGAACAATATATATCATTAAAAAGTATAAATATTTTAGGCCTATTTGAGGATACAGACAATTGTCTAACTCGCCTGACGGAGGAGCCCTGGAAGGAAGATTGAGTTTGAGCAAAATGGAATATGTGGATTAACTTTTTCATTATTTAAGGCTCGGGTCTCTGACGGATTTTATCTTAATAATTTAAATTATTTATTTTATAAGAATTTTTTTAAAAATATTCTTTAAAAAATAAATTAATTCAATAATTATAATCTTTTTATTTTATTATCCGTCTTTAAAATAATAATTTATTTTCAGAAACGCACTTGTTCATTTTTTTTGAAGCACACATAAGCAGTGGTGCATGTATGACTCATTATAAGAAGATTTTGATTTAATCTTTGACTAATATTTAATGACGCCTTACTCATAGTACTTCATGATTATGGCCCTGTTTGGTAGGACTTATTTCTAATTTATTTTAGCTTTTAGTTTAATTTAAGCTATTTTAATGTGTTTGGTTCAGTTTAACAATACAACTTATAGGTTTTTGTAAGTCAAAAATCAACTTATTCTTTGAATGGGAGAAGAGAAGCTTAATTTATAAGTCAAAAATCAGCTTATGTTCACAATTATAAACTATAAGCTGTTAAGGTATAAGCTATAATCACTTTCTCATAGTTCTACCAAACGGGACCTATGCCTAAGGGTGTAAAAAGGGCCAGCTTATTCGAGTTGAGGCTCGGGCTCAGGCCGGCCATTTGCTTAACAGGCTCCCACTATTTTATAGACTGGACCGGCTTAGTTCCAAAAGATCTAGGCCTAGCTCAAAGCGCGAGCTTGGTGTGAGCCTGGAGTTAAAAGCAAAAAAAAAAAAAAATTCATCAAAATAACTTGAAAGTGATGTTAAAGTTTAGATTGGGCCTCGGGCCGAGCCGGCTCAGTGTTGTTAAATGTTGGACGGATCGAGTTTAGATTGGGCCTTGGGCCAAGCCGGATCAGTGTTGTTAAATGCTGGATGGATCGAGTTTAGATTGGGCCTCTGGCCGAGCTGGATCAGAAAAAGGATGGCCCAGGCCCTAGCCTAGGGAGGTTAGGCCACATGTTGTTTTTATACCTTTAATTATGCTATGTGTCCGTCGTAAACCTCCCAAGCTAAATTTAACCTCCCACAAATACATATTAAATTAGATTGATTTCCTAGTTCTAAGAATCAATATACTCAAAATCCCACAATATTAAACATGTTCATGTTATGAATTGCAAAAAGGAGACCAAGTAGAGCGCCTTTCCTGACACTGGCAGTGAGAAGAGGAGAATCCATAACAAAGGAAATAAAGCAAATGCAGCATGTGAAATACCTCAGCAAAACTGAGCAAAGATTACCCTGACGAGCTATGGTAATTATCTCAAATAATCTATTAAATTTTTTGTCAAATCTCTTATATAGGTGTGAGACTCAAATATATATAAATTTGTGTGAGTCATACACTTATGTGAGAGATTTAAAACTTATTTGGAATGTGCTATATAAATACATTTTTTATCTTTTTATATTTTTAAAATTACATTGTCTCTTTACTTTTTTGCACATTTTGTTATAAAAAAAAAAATCAAAATATACATTTATTTAAATAATCACAAATAACCCCTAATAATATCTTATTTGGGATTAATAGATTTCTCAGCCGCCATCATCTCAGCTGTTATTATGTGGAAAAAGAGAGTCCACAGAAAACAAAAAGCAAAAAAACCAAAACAAAGCTAGAAACAGAGAAGACACAGAGAGGCGTGGCACACGTGATGAGGATGGTTTACCAAAATATACAAGCAGCAAAAGAATGTCTCGTCGAAACATGCAATATTGTGAAGCCTAAAAGAAATGACAACAATTAAAGAAATCACTTCCAATTAATTTATTCATAATCATGGTAATACAAATACAAGTACAACATTCGAATACTAAAGACGCAACCAAGCATGTCACGAAGAAAGAGGATCCCATATGATGTAGAGATCACACCAACCCCACATGAATTAAATTTAAATAATACTATTAATAATAATTAAAAACTCAAAACCTCCAAGTTTTATTTGACAAAAGTCTCCTGGTTAGGCTTGAACACGTACTTGATGAGCGATTCCTTAATGGACAACAGTTCGGGGAATTCCTTCTTCAGTTTTGACGCATCAAGCTCATTGTTGCTCCTTGGGGCGACGATCACCTTTGCCTGTTCCTCAAGATTGAAGTTCTTCCATGTGAAGTTGGGGTCAATGTAATCCCGGTACATCTCTAGAATCTCATTGTGGCTTACCACTCCGGGGTTTGTGAAGTTCCATATCCCGGTGAGGTTTCTCTTTGCCATCTCAATGGAAATGGGGAGGAGTTCATCCAAGATTGTCATGGAATTTGGAATGTTAACAACCTTCTCATAACGAGTGATCTTTGTGATGAAATTCCGGGGATTGGATAAATCGGACGAGATTGGCATTCTGACACGTAGCGTACACACATTCTCATAATTCTTCAGTAACTCTTCCACCTTTAGAATGACCATCAGAACTAGCAAATCAATTTCACCTACATGTGTTCTTGCACATTCTATAACAAAAGTGCAGCAACATTAAAACTTCAATGGTTTCATTAAACTACAACTTAATTCGGTCTAATGTCCTAAAACCAATGCATTTTTTTTATTTTTTTTTAATTTTCAACTAATTTGAATTAACAAATTGTAAGCATTCAAGTTTCCAAACTCATCTGGTGGAGGCACATAAATGTGCCTTGGAACCTGTATGGAATCCAAGTTGAGAAATAGCAAGGCTGTGTTTGGAGAGATTTGCGGTGGCAAAGAAAATAGGAAGGGAAAAGTGAATAAAATATAAACTAATTTTTTATCACTTTTTTTTTTTTTTCTTCTCTCTGCAGATCTCTCCTCAAATCTAAGATCTAAAGACAGTCTAAGTTCTAGTGCTAGGGAATTTTGGAAGGCCAGGGGGAGTTCTACCACTATTGTGGAGGAGATCCAGAAAAATTGAGCTTTGGGTTACATTCTTGAACGGAACAAAGTCGCCTAATTTCAAATTTGAGCCGAAAAACTCAGCAAATATTAGCTGAGTCAATTGTCATATAGGTTAATGGACAGCATCTACATGGCATCCTCTAAGCTATCAAATATATATACTACATGGTTTGATGAACTATTGAACACTTTTCACATACTCATATACAAGATGCATTTTTAAGCTTGTACCCAACAAAAAAATAAAAAATAATAATAATAATAATAATGAAAAATAAGTGAATGTCACATACTCATATATACAAGATGCATTTTTAAGCTTGTACCCAACAAAAAAATAAAAAATAATAATAATAATAATAATGATAAATAAGTGAATGTTGATGGAGCTTATAACTACCCACACTAAAAAAAATCCATACAAAGGAAGTTCGAGAATTATAAGAAACAAGTAATCAACTTATGATCATTTTAGAGATGTAAACAAGCCAAGGCGAACAAATGCTAGCAAATTTTACAAGCTACTTAACTCAACTCAGTGCCAAAAAATGATTCAATTTAAGTTGAGTTTAGCTATGTATCCCTTATATAATCTCATGATAACCACAAATCTAAGTGATAATTAATATTTTCCCATTTACATTATCTGGGTTTTCTTGATAATAAAGATCATGGACACACATGGCCTTTGGTTGGTTTGAAAAGTGGGTTGGCTTTTTTTTTTTGTTTGGATGTAATTTTTATTTTTTGTGACTAAAATAATTAAAAAAAAAAAAAAAAAAAAAAAAAAAAAAAAAACAATCTAACTCTTCCCAAACGTAGCCATAAGAAGAATGGCAAACCAGCTCAATGTTAAAGCCAAACCTCACACTTAAGCACTTTTGAAAATTGACTATTTTAGCCTCCGTTTGGCAAGCAAAAAATCAGGCTTTTTTGGCTAAAATAGTCACAAAAAACAAAATAGGCTATTTTAGCCAAAAAAAACAAAACATCAAATCTAACCCATAATCATTACAATCCTCTCTCACAAAAAAAGCCAAAAAAGTCAAAAAAATCAAAAAGCCCTTCCCAAATCAGGCTAAAATAGCCCAGGCTAAAATAGCCAAAAAGCCAAAAAGCCAACCCACTTCCCAAACGGAGGCTTAGTTAATTATTTGACTTAAAAAAAATAAAATAAAATAAAACTCAATGTCAAAGCCAAACCTCACACTTATCCTCTTTTGAGGATTTACTATTTTAGTTAATTATTTGATTTTTTACCCCAAAAAAAAGTACAAAAAATTTAAGAGACTGATGTGACAAATTCAAAGAAAACAAATCCAAAGGCAAGATCACAGATCTAAAGCATCCCATTTTAAATCATCAATGTATATATACATTCAATGCAATAAATTAAGCATTTATATCCAAAACTACCCACTAATCAAAATCATTTTATAAACCAGCAAAAGCATCATAACCAGAGTCATATCAAATGAAATCATGAAAATCTAATGGAACTGAAGATCACTCACCATAGCCTTGGTCTTGGAATAGAAGGATCCAATAAAATTGGGAATATCCTCCTCCTTAAACCCGACACCCGACCCGAGCTGATGCTCCGAGTCATACTCGAAGATACAGCCAGTGGCGTAGTTGATGAGAACGAGGCCTTTGGTCCGGCAGAGATCAGCTAGGGTTAGGGTTCCGACGACATTAGTGCGGATGGTCTCGACCTTGTGGGACTCGCACCAGTCGACGTTGGGTCGGCCGGTGACCCCGGCTGCGTTGAAGACGTGGGTCGGGTTGACGGAGTCGAGGTCGGCTTGGAGGGAGGTTCGGTTCTCTAGTCGGCCCGAGCCGTAGACATAGTCGATTCCTTGGGAGTCACAGAGCTTGCCGAGTAGCCCACCTATCCAGCCGGTGCGGCCATAGATCAGGAACTTTAGCGGCTTGTCTGATGCTGTGAAACCCATAGTAATGTGGAGAGAGAGAGAGAGAGAGAGAGAGATGGGAGAGAGGATTGGGGTGAGAGAGGAGAGGAGAGGAGAGGAGAGGAGAGAGGGAGTGTAGAGGACGAGGAGGGAGGTGGTTTTTGTAAGTTCCTGGTAGTTGGGCAAGATATTAGGTGGCTTGTATGGCTTTCAGGAAATTATTCAATATTTTCGAATTATTAATTATTATTTAATATCACTGTTCTTATTTTTATTACTCAACACAATCTTTCGTCTCTTTCTCTTGTTTATCCATCACAATATTATAAAATATTACATATTTATACTTTAAAATTACTAAATAATTACCCTATTTTCAGACAGTGATGGGTGGATGTTATATAAGCACATATTTTTTCGAGATTTGAAGGGCGGTGATGGACCTCTTCATCATCATTTCATTTTCATCATTCCATTTTAAATAAAGAATCGGCTGATTTATTTGTAGTGAAGCGTATTACAACTTTTATTTTAATAATTCGAATGATTTAATGTATAAAATTTATTAAATATTTTAATTTTATAAAAAAAAAATTATCAAATATTGATAGGCTCTTCATTAGAATATATTTTTATTGATGATTTATTTTTAAAATTATATTTATTATTAACAAAAATACATTTTAATCAAGGGACAATCAATATCCGATTAGCGTAATTTTTTATAAGAATAAAATACTTGACGAACTTTATACATTGAATTGTGAGGATTGGAGCATTCAATGTATTTACCAAATAAGTTTTTAATAAAGAGTAATGTTAGAGATCCTAAAGTTTTTTTAAAGTTCTATCAAATATCTCATATAGATGTGAGACCCACGTAAGACCCGTGTGAGTCTTACACTCATATGAGATATTTGGTAAAAAATTTAGTAAAATTTTTAGACTCCGTTTGGGAAGTGGGTTGACTTTTTAACTTTTTGGCTTTTTTGGCTATTTTAGCCTGGGCTTAAAAGCTTGGTTTGGGAAGGACTTTTTGGCTTTTTTGAGTTTTTTTGTGAGAGAAGAATGTTATGATTATGGGTTGGATGTGATGTTTTGTTTGTTATGGCTAAAATAGCCTATTTTGTTTTTTGTGGCTAAAATAGCCAAAAAAGCCCAAACCATGACTTCCCAAACGAAGCCTTAGAATCTCTACCATTATTGTTTAGTAAAAAACTATTGAAACATTTCATATCAAATCAAGTTTTCAATTTTTAAATTTTTATTCAATTTTGATGATATAGAGAATTAAAAATACTCTTGGCGACTAAGGCCCTGTTTGATTGGGAGATATGAAGATTGAGATTGGATATTATATCCGGTGGGGTCCATATATCTCATATTTGCAATTTTTTTTTGAAGGGGATATAATATCCGGTGGGATTGTATATCCCCCAAAAGTGGAGGATATAATATGATGTGGGATTTAGTCAGGATATATAATGAATAGGATATAAGTATTGGATAGTATATCCCTCAAGTCATGTTTGTTGACTTGATATATAAGATTGGATATATGTTATGCATGTTTGTTTTACAAAATATATTGTGGGATATAACAAGTAATTTCCAAGATTGCCCTCATAATATTATATTATATTAAATTAAATTAAATAATATTATATTATATTAAATTCAAAATTTATATTAAATTAAATTCAATAATATTATATTAAATTAAATTAAATTAAATAATATAATATTATATTAAATTAAATTCAATAATATTTATATTATATTAAATTCAAAAAATATATTAAATTATATTATGTTAGATAGAAAAAAGGGTAAATTGGACTTTTTACATCATATCTCAACCAAGGGGATATGATATAATGGGGGGTGGTATTGTATATCCTCCTTTTTTGGGGGATATACAATCCCACCGGATATTCATGTTGGGATTTCAATATGAGAAAAGACTAACCCTAAATTGTTGTAGTGATTGAATATCTGTTTTCATTTCCAAATTTGTAATGTTAAGATTGATTGTGAATTGAAGAGTATGTCGTGGAGCCCAAAGTTGTGTTGTAATACTAGATATGAGCTGAATGATACGATTGAAATCACAATATGTATCTAACCACTACCTTGTTATAGTAGGACAAGGGGGTATGGTTTCAAATTCCTTGAATTGAGTAGTTGAATTAAATAATAGGGGATGTGCTAGGTGTGTGTCAAGTTTTGTCTATTGTAAGTTTGATTATTATAAATGGCATAATTCAATATTATGGAAGCTCTAACTTAAAAAAAAAATATATATATATATATATATTATAACAAAACATCACATAAGGTATAAAAAACAATTAATGGATCATAACTAAAATAATGTTATAACCAACATCACAATAAGTCATAACTAACAACACAATACGTTATAATCAAAGATACAAAGATCATAACTAAGGGTGCATAGGATCCATACTGCAAAGGGGGTGTGTACCATAAAATTTCTTATAATTTGTAATATATATTAGAGAGATAAAATAAATTTACGGTCGAGTTCGGTACTATTGGCGGTTTTCAAATTTTTATAGGAAACAAAATCGAGAATGTTATATTTGACACGACATGATAACACGACTCAAACAACTGACAAAGTTAATGAGTTAAGGTTGATCATTTCCTAACACAAACATATATATGACACAATGTAATACATGAATATTAAGATATTGGGTTAGTGTCAAATTTTTATTACACAAAATTGACATAAATTAATATTATTGAATTTAATTAATTATAATATTATTTAATTTAATTTAATTTAATATAATTATTGAATTTAATTTAATATAAATATTAAATTTAATACAAATTTTGAATTTAATATAATATAATATTATTGAATTTAATGTAATTTAATATAATATTATTGAATTTAATTTAATATAAATTATTGAATTTAATTTAATTTAATATAATATAATATAATATTATTTAATTTAGTTTAATTTAATATAATATTATTGAATATAATTTAATATAAATTTTGAATTTAATATAATATAATATTATTTAATTTAATTTAATATAATATAATATTATTAAGGCAATCTTGGAAATTACTTGGTATATCCCACAATATATTTTGTAAAACAAACATGCATAACATATATCTAATCTTATATATCAAGTCAACAAACATGACTTGGAGGATATATTATCCAATACTTATATCCTATTTATTATATATCCTGACTAAATTTCACATCATATTATATCTTCTATTTTATATCCAGTGAAACAAACGGAGCCTAAGTACTTTAGTTAAATTAAAAAGTTATTATAAGTTAACATATTACTTTTTTTTGCTTTTCCACATAGTTTTTATTAAAAAATTAAAAAAATATTAAAATATGCCTTAAAAACATATAATTAAATAAAAAATGAATCATTTGATGATATTATTGTAGAGCATGCAGTGTGGGCTTCATAATTGTGTTTGGTTTATGTTTAAGTTGCCAAATTTTAAAATTAAAAAAAAAAATTACTCATCAAATTAGACTTAAAAATAAATTTCTCAATAAATAAATTACTCCTTTAAATGAAATTTATAAATAAATTTCTCAATAAAATAATTATTTTAATTGCATAACTTAAATTATTCAAATTATAAAATTTACTTTTTGTCCAGACAAACGATCAACGGATACCAAAAACGTCGCCATCAGATTAAAAACAATGTTTAGCACAGGACACCGATGCACTGTCCCTCTTTGGGCAAAAATATATATACATATATATATATATATATTAAAAAATTGTTTGAAAAGTGTTAAATTAGTATACTTTTTGAATTTTTATGAAAAATGTGTAATGTAGATTGAATTTGAAGTGATTTGATAGAAAAATAATATGACTTAAATAAGATAATTATGATCTAAATAAAATAATTATTTTAGCACATGTCGAACAACTACTAGAAATTCTAATAATTTTTTACCAAACATAGGAATGTGATCCACACGAGTGTTTGATAAATGATTTAATAAATTTTTTGAGATTTATATTATTGTTTTAAAATAAAATTTAAAATTTTAATTTTATCAACTTAAATTTAAAATTTTTAATTTAAACCATTTATATATTTTTTGTTAAATAAACTAGCAAAAAATTGTACTTTATTTATTAAATTCAACAAAAAAAATGATATTTTAGACATTTTATGTACATCTTTATATTGAGTTTAATGATTAAAATATAAATTTTCATCAATTTACTTAATGAAAATAGATATATGGTTTAAATTAAAAATAAATAAAAATATTAGAATTTAAATTGATAAAATAAAAAATTCAAATTTTATTTTATTATTTAAAGGTCAAATCCTTAAAAAAAATTATAATTTTTTCTTTAATTTTAATTAATTTTAGAAAATTTATTGCAGCATTTGATAATGAGATTCAGTGAAACAGACTTTTCATGAAATAAATAAAGCATGATTCGGTTTTTGCGGAGTTTTTAAATTTTTTATATATATAAACAAAATGTATTTTTTTATTAATTAAAATGGTTGAGTCTTTTGTTTACATAAAGTATGCTACGCTTCAAATGAAATTAATTACTACCTTAATTTAGACAGCTCACTCAATTGAAATGGTCTAAGTTGGTTAAGTCTCTCATTGCGTTGGGCTATATTTGTTTAAATTCGGCCTTCCCATTTTCTGGGCTCGGCCTTCTAACTTTCAGCCAGTAGGCCCAAATGTATTTGCAGCACTTTTATGGGCTTCCAACTTTAATCTTTTGGGTTTGTTGGAGGCCTAGTTCCTAGCTTTGTAGAAGATGACTAGCCCCAAAAGCTAGAAAATTAAAAAATATATTTTCAAAATGAGAGATTTATTTATAAATCCCATTTAGTAGACTTATAACTCAATACATCTATTAAAAGTTTTCTAAAGTTCCATAAAGTGTTCAAACTTATCGTTATTAATTATAATTTTTTCTATTTTCTGGATAAATAGATTTTCTCTCCCCAACAATTCAAAGAAAAGGATGGCACACAATTCAAAGAAAACGATGGCACAATTGATAGAATTTTACATAAGCATTTTTTTAAAAAAAAAATTTGATAATTCAGAACACAACACTTTTTTAATTAGATTAG